CATCCAGAAAGCACTGCTTTTATGCAAGTCCCTGGGTCCCCAAAGTGTACTAAAGGGCACGGTGAAAGTACCTGCTCGGTCCCCAAAAGACTGAGAATAAGGCCAGGCAGCTACTAGGACTCCAGCATTTCCTGAGCAGCAGTAAGAAGCTTCCTGGCAGGGGTAGGAAGCAAAGCTTGCTGGGGTGATCTCAGAGGTTAGGATTTGTAATGGGTGTACCTGGAAATCTCTGCTGTTCCAGGCTTGGTGAAGCTTCATCCTTAGCAAATGCTCTGAGACCTCATAGTTTGAGACTCACATGGTCACAGATGTTTGCCTTTTCTGTTTTATTTCTTGCCTCTTTGCTTCTATGAATCTGGGGAACTAAAATGGTCACAACAAACGATATATTGTTCCTTCACTTTCCATCTTTCCCTCCTTCCAGTCCGGTTGTTTCTTCCCTCTCCCTCTAGATTTCAAATTGGCTCCAGATTTTCTATGCGAAGCTGTAAGAAACACACTGAGAAGGCAGTGAAGGGGTACATGGGGGTGAAAAATCCATGCTATGTCTATGAAAGATGTAGCTCTCTGGGGAACATAGGTTAGGCTCATGTCTACCACTGGAGTCTCCAAAACAAATTAACACCATTTAAATATTCAGCCAACATCTAGAGATCATTTACTGAGACCAGACTAGTCACCAGGTTGAGTAAGACGAGGTCTTTACTCAAGGAGACACCACAGAGGAACCTACCACCACCCCCCATATGCTCACACCGCTTCATACCTTCAAAGCACCTTGCAGGCTTTGAATTTCTAGCCTATTTGCCTTCCCAATGAGTCTGTAATTCTACGTAGGACAAAACAGTGTACATGGTCAGATGCTCAAGAAATACCGTCTGATGGCTCTAAGAAGGCCCACAAACCAAAAAGCTGGGCACGGAAGCTTCTCAGTAACACTACAAGGTGACACCTGTGGCTACAGGATTAAGGACAGAGACCAGAGGAGCCAGAGCAAGCCTGATGAACAGGGGAGGGTGCGACCTCAGATGAGACACCCAACCAGGAGCTAAAAGATGAGCAGAACTGTCATCAGTGGAGAAAAAGTAACAGAACAAATTTCCTGCAGAGAGAACAGGATGTACAATAGCATCTGCTTAAGTCATAATTATCAAGGATTTAACATACATCAGGTTCTGTTTTCTGAAACTGGCTCTTTGATTCTTTGTAGGTGCTACTTTTGCTGCATTTCATAGATAAAGATGTTGAGGCCTGGAGCTCGCATGAGAGGAACAGATTGATCTGATGTCAGAGACCAGGTCCCGATGCCTAGGCTAAATGACAGGAGCACAGAGCTGTGAAGGATATGGATACATCTAGAGTTGAGAGTCACTTCGGTAAGATACATCTAGAGTTGAGAGTCACTTAGGTAAGAGTTGAACTATGAGTGAGAGAACAGCAGGTGGCAGAAGCTAGGTATGTGGCAGGGTCAGATTTTGAAGGAACTGGAAGCCATACTCAAAAGTGTTATCACACAGAGCGCTGAGTGAGACTCACAACCCAAGGCGAGCATTAAGGTATACAGATGGCTTCATCAGCATCCATCTTTACAACACTGGGAGCAATGGGAAAGGCATCGCTGTGAGAAGCCTGGAAGAGAAGAGGTTATTTCCAAAGGCAGACAAGGCATGAGATGGTGAACAAGGTGAAGGGAGTGATTTTCCTGAGACAAAACAGATGCAATATGGTGAAGGACTGGATCGGGGTGGGAAAAGAAGAATAAATGAGAAGACATTAGGTTCCTAACTCTGTGTCAGCATTCATCCAGTTTCCAATCAGTCAAGACAAGGACGAGTGAGTGGAGAGAGGGAAGAAGGGCTCAGTTGTGTTATGTTACCATCTAACCGCTTCCTGTCCATAAGCCTTATCAGCCTGGAAAAACCAGAATCTTCTGTAAGTCAGAAATAACTCACAAAGACCTTGTGCCCACATATTCACTCAGCGTTCATCTCAGTGTGAGATGCAAAGCTTAACACGATTCACCAAATACCTGTTACACATCAAAACTATGTAGCTCATGGTGCCCCTACAGTGCTTGCTGACCAACCAGGAATCATAAGAGATAATACAAAGTTATTACTACATATTTTAAAGTATCTGTAACTTAAGACAGGAGAAACACAAGTAGCTAATATATATTTAAAAGTTCAACTTGAGGAGTCATCAAAGAAGTACAAATTAAAGCAGTATCTTTGTTTCTTAAAATGGGGAAAAATTTGAGACTGGGTCTTGCTATGTAGCCCAGGCTGTCCTAAAATTCTTCTTATTTCTCCCCAGATTTTCTTTCATCCTTTCTTTCCGTTTTTCTTTCTTTCTTTCTTTTTTTTTGTCTCTCAAAATGCAAAGAGTGTTTGAACACCCCTATGAGATCCTCCCTGTGCTCTGTCTTGGCTGGAGCAGCTAAAGTGCAGGATCCACTGGAGAACTTTAGAGCCCAAGAGACAGAGGAGCCTATGGTCCCTGGGATGGACACCGCAGAGCTGCCCAGAAGAGCTGACTAACCAAGGAGCATGGTGAGAAATGAACGTAGAGAGAGCTGGAATTTGTTTCCTACAGTACAATAAATATAGAAATACTCTCCCTCAGCCGTACAGTGAGGAATTGTCATCCCTATTTTGGAAATAAAAGTCCTAGAATCACAAAACTTTACTTGTGATTCTACAGTAAGTGGAAACATAGTTAACCTCCACCTCTTGTGGCTCCATGTGACGTGAGAATGTACCCTAATAATCAGGCCCCTCAACCCTAAGCAGAGTGGGCTCTGGGCAGGCATCCCCTGGGAAAGTGCAGGGAGCAGCCTGAAAGTCCAGGGAAAGTTGACCGATGTGAGTCTGAACCCAGGTCCACTCTCATCAGTCTGCGATGGCTATGGACACACTGTTTATGTTTAGGAGCCTCAGTGCCCTTATCATAAAATGGGGCTGAACATAAAGAGACTCATGTTTCAGGGTTTTATGGGAGAAAATGTGTTATGTTATAGGAAACAGACAGAGGCATCATGAAGTATTAACTAAACTACTGTTATTATTAGATGTCAGGGAAAATAGCACATACTGAATGCCACAAAGTACATTTCACATCTTATCTTAGTTCATTCCACGGCAACCTTAGAGAAGAGGAGATATTATTCTGATCTTACATTGGGGAAAGTGAGACTCTGAGATTTTTAAGTAACTTGGTCAAGGTCACATAAGTTGCAGAGGTCGCAACCAGAGCGTAAACAAACATATTTCGGCATCCAAAGTCTTTATGCTGCATCCCACATTAATTTTGACAGAAGACAAAGAGGTCTCAGAGATGGCCCAAATGTCCCAGGTCAGTGCAGGCACTAACAGTGAAAGGCTCAATAAGACTCACATGAAGTGGGCATCAGAGATGTCTGAGAGGAGCTGGGTGTGGACCAGGGCAGGGTGCACACTTAGCATGTGTGAGGCTCTGGGTTCCATCTCTAGCACCCACCCCCTCAAAAAGCAAAGATATTTGAAACGCACAGAGAATGAGGTAGAGAAGAAACCAAAAGGGCAAAAGATGGCCTAAAAATAAATGCCATGTTCCTCAATTTCCCCATCAGCAAATATCACAATAAATAGGATAAATGACTCATATATATTTTAATGTTCATACTGAGTCTAAAGCTTAAAATGTCTATCTTGTAATACCGATGCACTGTTTCCTCACGATTTGGTCACCATGTGTGAGTCCCAGAAAACATTCTGAAACAGAGGAAGTTCAGTACAGTCGCAGGAAACGTCTGATCTCCTTCATGTCCAAGAAAGGGAAACTAACTCTACTGGGTTGGTTTTTTTATTTTTATTTGTTTTTTTGTTGTTGTTGTTTGCATCATGAACACCAAGGCATGACTCTGGAAAATGACTCAGGTAACCAGAACAGCCATTGATAGCTTCAACTCATCCCACAGAGAAACACGTGTCATTTCACAACAAAACAATAAACACCAAAACTTTGTTTTCTGATGTGTTCAGTTCGTCACACACAGATGTCCCAAGCCAAGAACAAAAAGGCTTTTTTTTCCTTCTTCAGTCAAAGTTCTAGAAAACCTTCCTGCTGCGAGTGTTTCTGATTCACCAGGCAGGTTTGGCACTGGCAGAAACAGAAGTTCGGAAAAAACAAGGCTGGAGGTGGGGGCTTTAGGGTGGAAAGGTCCCCAGGGAAGTCGTCACTCCAGAGTCTTCCCACCTGAAGCCCCAGGGCTGTGCAGGCAAAAAAAGAAAAAAGAAAAAGAAAAAAATACAAACTAGACTTGGAAAAAGAACTCAACAAAAAAGGGTGGCCCACTGCACTTTGATAAGGCGTGAAACGATTTTTTTTCTTTTCTGTTCAAATGTATGAACCTAAGGAGGTCTGAGCTTCTCCAGGGACGAAGGCATCCTTCTGTGAACTTCTCTGAAGTAGAGCTGAGGTCACCCTGGGCCCGCAGACCTCACAGGAAACTCAGTCCCAACGACTAACTACCTGTAAGCCCAGAAGTTTGGGCTCCACAGGTTCAAAAGCAAAGCGGAGCTCCGAGCCCTCCCTGCCATCCAAAGTGCAGCGTCCTACGCCCCTACAGCCCCCTACCCAACCCAGTCGCCCCTCGGCTGTCCCCGGGCCCGGAAAGGCCTGGGCTCCGCAGAGCCGAGCCGGGAACCCCGCACTCCTCCCCGCCTGCCGGCCCCATCCCCATCTCTGCGCACGCAGCCCCGCTCTGCCCTGCAGCCAGCAGTCCGCAGCTCCTCGCGTGCAGGCGCGAGCAGGCAGGCAGGCATGGTGGGGAAGGTGCTGTGCAGGCTGCACGCTGCAGCGTCTCCCTCCATTTGCATTTGCCAAAGGAACAAAAAGAGCATCAACGCCAGCAAAGACAACTGAGATGAGGATGCGGGGGGGACCGCGGCGGACTCCGCGCCTCTCAGCAGCCAGGCACCGGCCGACCACGCGTCCGAGCCCCAGAGCGCAGTCTTTACCTTCAGGATGCAGGCCATGGCGCTCCGCCTGCCCTCCCGCCGCCGAGCTGCGGCGCGCCGGGTCAGGGGCCGTCCGGGCGGCCGGCGGGAGAGCGGCACCGCGACAGGACCTCGCCGGTGCGCATTCCCGCAGCCGGGGACGGGACCGCGGTGCTGAGCGGCCAGGCCCCGCCCCGCGGCCAGGCTCCGCCCCGCCCTCCGGCCCGGCCCCTAGGCCCCGCCCACAAGCCAGTCCACTGGCTGGTGGCCCTGCAGCCCCGCCCCCTGATCACGTGCCCGCCCAGCGGCCGCAGCCTGCTTTCCTCCCCGCTTTCCCTGAAGGCTCTGCGGGTGGGCTGGCATGCAGTCCTCTTTGCAGTCCTCTTTGCAGCAGGCAGGGATTTGGGTCCCAGAGGGCAGAGCCAGCGGCCTCGCAGACCTCAGAGAACTCCTCGCACGCGTTTCACACATTTTAAAAAGTTAAATGGGTTGGGCACCTGACACTCACTCTGCAGGCTCCGGACCTTAGCAAAGGATTCCTCGAAAGTAGCCAGGAAGTTTTCCCCTGGCTGCTGAAAGACTGTCTCTTCTCTCTGCAAAATCAGTGACCCTGACCGGCTTATCTCAAAGTACTGATTTGCCACTACCTAGGAAGAGCCTTTCTCTTGTCAACAAAAGAATCTGTGATCCTCATACTGAATACCTGCTATGTGTGTACACAAACATTCTGTATGCACACATAGAATACATACACATGTATCTATGTGTGTATACAGAATGTGCATGTATTCTATATGTATACGTAGTATACTATTGTTCCTTTCAACTGCGAGCGTATTCATGAAAAAGTGTTCATTTATAGCTACACAGTCGACAGAGACAATGTGTACATGAACATCTGTGTTAGTGAAGCCTACCTCCCCTGCGTGGAGTCAGGAGCCCCATTGCGGGCTTCGCAACCACAAAGCAGAAACCAGGAGGGCAAGGGACTTGGTGTTTCGCAAAGATCATTCAAAATCCCAAGAAACTGAGGAGCCACAGAAAGTAGGTTGGGGAAGCTGTAGCTGGTCAACTGCAGGAGTCCCTCTTTTCAGTCTCCCTGGGAAATACCCTCTTGCTCTGCCGCTTCTCCTCCACCTTATTGTCAGGTGTAGGGTATTTCCAGTGAGATGGCCTTGAGCAGGTCTGTACATATTAAACTTCTTCTAGTTCAGAGACTTTAACAGACCTCAAAAATTGCATTCATTCACTCAACAAGCTTTTACTGAGCTAGTACTAAATGGAGGAGCAATTTTTCTTTAAGCTCTGACTAACGAGGGAAAATCTTAATTAAGGTGCTGTAAGACCTGTGAGGGGTCAAAGAATAATTTTCAGTGGGAAATGCCGACCTATAATCCCAGTTTTCAGAGAGACCGAGTCAGGAGGACTGCAAGTTGAAGCCTAACCTGGGTAATGTAGGGACTTAGACCAGATGAAAGAAAGAAAGAAAGAAAGAAAGAAAGAAAGAAAGAAAGAAAGAAAGAAAGAAAGAAAGAAAAGAAAAGAAAAGAAAAGAAAAGAAAAGAAAAGAAAAGAAAGAGAGAAAGAAAGAACACCAGGAAGAGGGGGAGAAAGAAAAGAAAGAGGTGGAGAAAGAAGGACAGAGGAGAAAGAGGGGAAGGGGAAGGGAAGAGAGGAGGAAGAGGGGGAAACAAGGAGGAAGGAGGAGAGGAAGAGGAAGACGATTTGGGGATGTAGTTCAGTTCAAAGGCCCTAAATTCAGTGGTCCCTGCTGCGGAAAAAAGCAGGACTCTCCTGGTCTCTAATGTGAGGAGCTTGCCATGAGGTAGGAGAGAAGACAAACACCTGCTAACATACCAGGTGAGGTGCTTAACCAAAGGGGAAGCAGCGCTCTAAGCAAGCAAGACCGTGGATGGGGAGGGCAAATCTCCGTGTCTTCAAAAAGTCTGGCTCTGTGGGCAGGAACATCGCAGACTCCGAGGAACAGAACCGCGGGACACCTCCTTGCTGGGTGACCTTGACCAAGTTTCTTAATTTCTCTTTAATCCTGAGGAATGGTAACGACATATATTCTCATGAGAATGAAATGAGGTAATGTTTCAGAAGCACCCACCTCAACTCCTGGTGCTATGAGCATTTCTAAATGGTGCTGCTTTATGGAAAGAAGAAAACCTTGTCCTGAAGACAGCTTGAGGGAAAAGATGCCTAGGATAATTGCTGTCATCCTTGGGTGCCTCTGAAGGACCAACATTGATGGGATAAACATCCAGAAGCTCGAACCTTGGTTATGTCAAGATGAGGGCTTTGCTAACCCACGGTCTACCTTGGCCCGGCTTTCCCAATTAAACTCCTACCCACCATGTACACACGTCTCAAATGTTATGTTTCTTGTTAACACCCACAAGTCATGCCCCAGTATACCAAGGAATAGAGGCATATTTATATCAATCTAAAAACAAACTCAATAAATTCTAGGATAAATCTGAACAGAAATTTTTGCAAAATAATATTAATTGTTGCAGAGGGACTGCACCAAAAAAAAAAAAAAAAACTTTTTGGATAGAAATAAAAGTAGGTTCTGAATACACCAGGAAATGAAACTACAGCCAGATTTGTGGGAGGTAAGAGGGCAGGAGCATGTGGCCAGGATATTTTTTGTTTTAAAACATGCAGAACTACAGAAATAACTTGGTCTAGCCCATAAGTGTGTCATAATTTTCCAACTCTCAAATAATGTAATTTAAAACCAAAAGATTTCGCTTGCAAAAATAACAGAATGGGTGCACCTTGCAATTAGATGCAATATCTCATGTGATTCTCTAGTACCTGTGATGGCCCATATCATCCCTGGTTCGTAAGAGAGGAAACAGGGATTCAAACCCAGAAACTTGCAGGTCTGCCATCTTAACCCAGTTAGCCAATATGTCAGGGATCCAGTCTCTGCCATTTGACACCACTGGAATTTAGGGCATTGTCTTGTTTGGTCATAAGACACCTGTAGTAAGTGCATGGGGTAAGTATCTGAGTAGGCTAAGTATGTAAGTATACAAAGGACAGATACAGCCTATGTGGTGTGCTCAAAAAATACAGTGAATGCTTTTTTTAAAAAATATCTATTACAGTAAAAGATATATTGCCATTAACCCCCCTCTGGGTACTCTCCCCATTTTTGACCCACACTTATCCCATCGATCTTGCCACTTTCTGAAGCAGTTCTGGAAAGTCCCCTTTCTGTGTGTCTTTAGTTATGCTGTCTTGGTGGCCTCGATGTCTTGGATTTCTCCAGCGTATTTACCGTTCATGGTCAGTTTTACTGGAGGAAGAGCCAGATGTCCCTCAGTGTCAGATACAGTGAGTAAGGCAGATCAGGACACCTTAATGTTTTTACGAGCCAGCCTTTCTATCAGATGACGTCAGCAGCAGCATTACCATATTTTTTTATCACACACAAGTGAATTTTCATATGGGATAAATGTGTGTGAAGTGAAGGGGAATATTTTGAGGAGGATTGGTGTCTTTTACTCTAATAAATATTTTTAATTAAACATTCAGCATACTTCTTCATCAGACCTCCTATATGAGAGGAAGAGGAATATACTCATCTTGCATTTGTTTTTATTGGTACCAGGGATCAAACTCACGACTGCCAGCTTGCAAGGCAGGCGCTTACGCCACTGAGCTAAATCCCCAGCCCCATCTTGCATTTTTTTAACCTCTGGCCCCCAGATAATACTGTAACAAAGACTCTGTGCTTCCAATCTGGGTCTCCAACCAAGCTGTTACCACCATCGGCCCATGACATTTCTTCCCACCAAAGAGTATTCCATTGCTTGTTCTGTGTTATTGTGATGCTTAACCGTGGTGTCAACTTGAATAAGAAATGCCCAGCTGGCCGGTTTGGCATGGGAGCTGCCACACAGTAGCCTCTCTGTGCTTGCTTCCCTCCATGGTGCCATCCTTGGGGACAGGTCCTGTCAGCACAGCTGCCTCCCGTGGGCTTCAGTTGGCCCATCTTCCCTTCCTGCAGGTCTTCCTCCATGAGACCTCACTCTGCCTTCCAGCTGACACATCATGGGATATACAGCATTTTGCTCCTTAATGCATTTTTGCTTCATTGTAAACAATCATATTACCAAACAGTTCTCAAGAACTGTAACATAGATTTCCCTGGTAGAAACAGAATTAAAATGCAGGCTCCCATAACTTTTCCAATTTCATCCTGCACACATATTAATTTAATATATTCAATATTCAACACAGTCATTTATTAAGGCTTTAATTGGATCTCAATTTCTCCCATCTAAAGATGCTAAATGAATTCCAGAGACCATAAAACTCTTTTTGCCATTCACTACATAAATTACACTTCCATAGGAGACTGACTGGAAGATCCATTAGAAAATGTTATGGGAAAGTCATTGCTTCACGTTCTGAGCCAGAATAGGAAATGATTTTTTTTTTCTTGCTGGAAACCATTACATTGTCACAATTTTGACTTAGGAACTTCTCCATATCCTAAAGCAGGTATCTGTCTGTCCACATCGACATATGTATCTGTGTCTTCATCCGTGCCCAAGCACTGCTGTGGCTGTACTCCTTTAAGTGTACACTCATACCACAATGATGTCGGTGGCTCTGAAGAGTAGATCATTCCAAAGTATCATCCAGTCTGCATTCCCAAGACTTGAGCTTACTGCAATTTCAAATCTTTACAGAATTCTGCACCACAATTCACCATTACCCCTGACTCTACTGATACTTATCTGGGACAAACTCCAAGGCAAGTTATGCATGATTTAAAATTGCATATTTTAAATATTATATCTATTTCCCACTCAGTAACAATCTCCCTTCTTTCAGATCTACCCTTCTTTTTGGAAAATCCATCTTTGCCCAAATAAAAAACTTTTTTCAAATGAATCAATAAAAAATGACAAGTATGTCTTCCATTAAAGGGAAAAAATTTATAATTACCATTCTTTACCTAATTTTCATTATGCAAAACAGCGTAGCTTTTAACCAGACTTGTTTTTCTTAAAGAATTCCTCCCAAGGTTCTTTTTAAACTTAATCAATTGGAAGTAAATATGGCTGGAAGCACTGGTGTGTAGCTTGAATTTGGTTTGTATTGGATTTCTCCAAGGCTATTGAAGGTTCCATGATTAATTGAGTCTGATTTTTCTTAACCATCTTTTCCAG